CTGGGGCTCGGCCGCTGGTAAGAGCACAGGGGCGTGCGTCCCCAGCAGAAACCTCCAGTCCCTTTCCTCCTCGCAGCTCAGTGTGTCCAGCCAGGTGTCATCAGGCTCCAGCCTCCAGCTCCACAACCTCCTGAGCAACATGGACAGCAAGGAGGGGGTGTACGCCAAGCTGGGGGCCCTCTACGCCGAGTCCTTGCGCCGCCTCGTTGCCAAATGCGAGGACTGCTTCATGCGGGAGCAGAAGAACGAGCTGCGCTTCAGCGAGAACAACTGGTCGCTCTTCAAGCTGGCGTGCAACAAGCCCTGCTGCGATTCGGGGGACGCAATATATTACTGTGCTACCTGCTCCAAGGACCCTTCCACCACCTACGCTGTGAAGGTAAGCCCACACCCAGGAGGTATCCAGGCTCATCTCCATCTGCCATGCCAGTTGGGAGGATGAGGCAAAGAGCTGCAGGGTCCAAGGCTGCGTGGGGGTCCGTAGCTGAGCTGGGGCTGAAGCTTTGAGCTTCTTTTTTCCCCCTTTCTGGTGTATGGATTTGAATGGAAAGACTTAGCGGTACACCTTTGAGAAGCAGCACCAGCACGCAATGGCCTGTCTTCTCTGCTTGTCTTTCTCACGGGTGAAGTCTGGCAAGCAAAGCCTCTGCCAAAATTGTCACTCTTCCCCTACCGCTTGCAAAGGTTAGTTTGGAGAAGTAGTTTTTGTTGTAACTAATGCCAGTCAGGTGCTTATTGCTGCAGACTAGCAGAGTCTGAAACCCAACCAGTTTCTCTCTAAAAAAAAAAATAATCTTTGTGCAAATACTATGCTGTCAAGTCAGAGGCATTCGCCTCTGATGACACAAGCTGATGAAAGGCTGTTCAAAAGACAGCATCTTTGCCTCTGCCTGCCTTTTAAGGGGAAGGATTGACCCAGAAACCATGTAAGTGCTTATATGATCTTGAAACTACAGGCGTTAAGACATTGCAGATCTCGATTAAACAATGCAAGGCTGACCCAGACATGCTGTGTAAGGTCAGGGCTGACATATTCTCCCGTAACTCCACGAAATCCATGTTTGAAGTGGAAACTTGAGGTGCAATAGTTCAGCTCTTTGAAACCTGGATAAGTAAGCTTATCCAACCCGTTCCATGGACATCCTGTGGATTTGGGCTCTTGACCCATGTTACTACTTGAATCCAGAGCCTTTAATTTCTATTCTGACTTAACCCTAGGGGCATCTCTTTGCTGCTTACTCTTCAGGTTGTTTTCAAAACCTAAAGTAATTCCCAAAAAAGCACCGTCAGAGATGCATTAAGCAAGGGAAAAAAAAAAAAAATCTCTGCTGAATAGCTTCTGCCATTATGAACCCCAAGGGAATGTTTTAGTTAAGTGATAGCTTTAAAGCCATTTCGTATTCTAAAGCAAGTATGGTCAACCCAACAGGGGGGCTGTAAATAACCAGAATGGAGTTAGGTGAGATCTTGCACCAACACCCCTAGCCCCGCACTCCGAGCTGCAGCCTCTCTTGTGCGTTATACCTAAATCCATCGCAACTTTCCTCCCGAAACCTAAGAACTGCGTGGTGAACTGATGTGCTCCTTTTCGATCTGCGATTCCCCGTGGCACGCACGCACCTTTGCTTTTGCCTGCCGCGTTAGGTGGGGGTCAGAGGCTCAGCTCTATGGCTGCCGTGCATGAGTTCTTGCCAAGGCAGAAACAGCACATTTCAATCTCTTAGCGGGACTGCACTTGTGTCCCTCCATGTGATGTGGGGCTTATTCTGTGCCCTTGGTATGCTGCAGAGCACCTTAAAGCCAAAACCACTCCAACAGGGCCGTACTCTGCGCCAGCGTAAAGTGACGTGGTGTACGTGCTCGCACACGTACGTGTGCACACCTCCTGCAGCGCTCCTCTGAGCCACCTTCTTTTGGCAGCCGACGTCGGGCATCACTGTGAACCTTTACAGCTGGCTGATTCCTAGCTGCCCCTCCTGGCTTCTGGTACAGATGTTCTGACATGAAAGAGATCACAGACCCAGAGTTAAAATTAGACTTGGAGAGCTCAAAACGGGCAGAGGATCTGACCTGAGCCAAGGAGCCTGCTGAGGAGCAGGAGCCAGCGTCTGGGCTGCGCACAGGCAGACACAGCTACGTGTAAAACAGAAGGAGCCGTGGTTACGTGAAATGGCTTTAGAGGGATTAAGCCAAGATACGCTCCACGCCTTGGCTTCTTTCTCCGCTTAAAGATGCGTGACTAAGCCAGCCCCAGGCTCCTGCTTGGAGCTTGCTGCATGGAGGATGCCCCCGATGCAGCCAAAGTCACAAAGAACGGCCGGCTGGGGAAGGTCTCCCTGTCTTCGTCTGGTTGCTGTCATTCGCAGGGGGTTCCTCTCTTTTTCCTAAACCTTGCACGTCCTACCTACGTGGGGAGGAACAAGCAGGCTCGTTCGGCAGAGGGCTGGAAGGCCTCCTCCGCCTTTGGGGACCTTCTGCATCTTGCTGCATTAATCTGTAGTTTGCCTAGCTCTCCAAAACTTGTCTTTCTGCAAAATAAGCATGCAGCCGCAGCAGGGGATTTTTTGTTTCGAAAAGAGAGGACAATAGGGATTTGAAATGCCCTGTCTCCACAGTATCGTCTCATCTGAGTGAATTACCTGCAAATGCCTAGATTCAGACCCTTGCTAGAGGAATACAAAAGCAGCCCACTTCTCCAGCTCCTCTCTATTCTTGCATTTATTTTAACTCGGAGGCAAAATTGATTTCTTGTCCGATTTTGCACGCATGCTGTGACTGGCAGTGGCACGCTCCAGGGTTTGAAACCTTTTATGCTGAGTTTCAGCCTGTTGCTGATTCCTGTGGGTGAGATACAAATACATCGCTAAATAAAAGAAAAAAAAGAAGTGTATAATAGAAACGCCAGAAGGCCCCATAAGCTAATGGATACTCCTATAATAAACCTGGGTTTGAGTTTGTTTAGTCTTTAATGCAGCCATAAAGCTAAAATACAGAACAAAACGAAGATTAAAGTCATGTGGCTTTAAGAGGATCCAGATTATAAAATGCTTTTTGCCCCTCGAGTTTGCTGCACTCTCACTTTTTTCTAAGCCTGTTGTTAGCTCCCACTTTCTCTCTGCTGTTCTCCCCCCGTGCTGATGAGTACAGCTTGCTGCTGCTTTCCCTTAGCCATTGATCGGGGGGGTGAGAGTACACAAGGAAGCGGAGGGGTTGAGGAGGATGGGAAAGCGGCTCCAGGGCTTAGGACCAGAGAAGGGTTAGGTGGGAAGAAACTGCTGGAGGTCTCTTCCCACTTTCTCTTAGGTGGGAAGAAAGTGCTGGAGAACTTGCACCCCTCTCTCCAAACAGGGCCACCCTCGCAGCCACGTCACGTCGCGTGGGGCCTCATCCAGGCAAGCGTTAACCATCTCCAGAGACGGAGGCGGCACGTCTTTGCTTTTCCCTCGGCAGAATGCCTCCTGGGTTGCCGGGGGGAGTCTCGATGGCATCCGTGATGTAAAAGCTATGTCGGTTCTGTCAGCAATGAAACAAAATCTCCAGCAGTCACTCATGGGAGGACTACCTCCCTCCTTTCCTGCAAATCCTGGGCATTGCCTGGCAAAGGAAGAACACCCAGGAATGCGACCCAGACATCTGGTTGCTAAGGTTGGGGTGTTGCAGGACAAGAAAGATCCGCAAGCTAGGAGATGGTTTAAGGTACTAAAGGGAGCAATGTACGCCCTGCTTCTACTGATGTCTTCCCTAGCATCTGCAACTCGCAGCTTAGGAACCCACCTCTGAACTTCTGGTCTCTGCCCTGTCTCCATCACTGACTGATGAGACTTTTCTTTTGGTCTCTCCTCACAGATTTGTAAAACCCAGGAGTCCAAGGTGGCTGCTTCATACTGCAGCCCTGCAGTGCCGGTCCACTTCAACATCCAGCAGGACTGCGGGCATTTTGTGGCCTCTGTCCCCTCCAGCATGCTGCTGGCCTCAGACGTGGGGAGAAGCATGCCTGGGGATGGCCTCCATCCCTCCCGCACTGCCAGCGAGCACGACTGTGTGGTGGTCATTACCCGGGAGGTGCCGAGCCAGACCACCGCCGACTTTGTGAGAGACTCGGTGATGTTGCACCAAGCCAAGCCCGAGCTGTACGAACGTCGCGTTTGCTTCCTGCTCCTCCAGCTCTGCAACGGCCTGGAACATCTCAAAGAGCACGGCATCATCCATCGTGACCTGTGCCTGGAGAACCTCCTGCTTGTCCCCTGCAAGCCCCCCTTGAGCTGTGTGAAAGCCAAAGATGACAAACACTTACCCCGCCTCATCATCAGCAATTTTTTGAAAGCCAAACAGAAGCCAGGAACTGGAGACTCCAAACTGAAGAAGAGTCAGGCCCGGCTGGCCCCGGAGATTGTGTCGGCTTCTCAGTACAAGAAATTTGACGAGTTTCAGACTGGTATTCTCATCTACGAGCTGCTGCACCAGCCCAACCCTTTCGAGGAGAAGGTGCACCTCAGGGAGCAGGAGTACAGCCCTGAGGACCTCCCTGCCCTGCCCAGCCTGTCCATCTACTCCCGGGGGCTCCAGCAGCTGGCCCACCTGCTACTGGAAGCGGATCCCATCAAGCGCGTGCGGATCACCGAGGCCAAGCAGATGCTGCAGTGTCTGCTCTGGGGACCCCGAAAAGACCTCACGGAGCAGCCCCTCAGCCACGAGGAAGCCCTCCGCCGGGTCCTTCAGAACTGGGTGGACATGAAGCGCGCCCTGCTCATGATGAAGTTCGCAGAGAGGGCTGTGGACGCGGAGCGGAGCGTCGAACTGGAGGACTGGCTGTGCTGCCAGTACTTGGCGTCTGCTGAGCCGGCCTCCCTCTCGCACACGTTAAAACTGCTGCAGCTGCTCTGACCTCGGCTGTGCCTCGGAGGCAGCTGAGGGCTCCCGGGTGCCTTGCAGCTGAAGGTGCGCAGCCCCTTTGTACACGAGAGGTTTGAATCTCAGCTGCGAACGCGCGTTCAGCTCCCGCCCCGCGCTCCGATCAGAGGGCACAAGACATGTTTCGTACCCTCGGCACTGTTAATTTGCAAGCAGGCAAAACCGGGAACCTACCCCTATTTGGGGGGATTTTTTTATTATATTATTTTTTTTTTTTTGGTATGGTAAGTCTGTGGACTAATAAACCCCTGCCTGCGTGCGTGCATGTTTCTAATGAACTCAATGTACTTGAGTTGATTTCTGCGCCTGCGGGGCAGTCCTCTGATCCCCGTCCCCCCTAAAGCCTTTTTGCTCGGGAACACCACCACTCTCCAGGGATGAACGGTTGGCTGCTTCTCCTGGGGAGCAAGAGCAATTCACGTAATGCTCCTTTGCAAGGGAGAACCGCGTCTTTCGTGTTTTTTTGGCATCCATTTTGCTTCTCACTTTAAAAACAAAGATTACTGCTTGTTTCTGTGTATCAGCTGTATTTTCCACTGTGGGCAATTCAATATCAGCTGCCTGTTACCTTCGTTAGATACTAATACAGCATGGCTTTCCTGTCTAGTGGTGCAGCTCCGCGGGCTGTTGGTTGTGAAAAGGTGAGAGAGAGCCCAGGATGGGTCTGTTCATGAGGATGATGCTGCATGCTGGGAATTACCCCTTGTAAAGTTAATGAAATGGAAAATCCCCAATTCACCTCCAAGGCCTCGGGGGAGCGGGGAGGGGGGGAATTCAGGGCTAGGTTGCTTTGCTTTCTCCATCCCTCCAGCTCCCTCCCTTCACTTGGTAATTCACCTGTCCCTTCTGTCTGGCAGTTATTTAACCCCTTCATTGAGAGATGAGCTGGCATGTGAAAGGCCAGGGCCAGTGGCCTGTGGTCTGGGAGGTGTTTGAATTAGAAATGCGTGCACTGCGAACATGCCTCTCCAACAGATGTGATGCAAGAGGGACGAGCTGGCCTGGCTCCCTCCAGCCCCTTTCCCTCCACCCAGGCATACGGCAACCACTCAGCTTGGTAGAGAGGCTGTGCTGCTGCTCAGAAAAACTGATTTTCCAAAAGGCTGTGGGCTGCTTTTGCTCTTCCACCCCGAGACGAGCTGCCCTGCTCCTGGCACCAGTTCTGCAGCCCTTGGAGAAGGGGTAAGTTTGGGACACGTGGGGAGAGCCCAGCGCCAGCTTAGCTGAGACAGGGTGTCGCTGGCTGAGCTACCTCCCTCCCAGCTCAAAACGCGGAGAAATTCATGAGCGCTTTCCTCCAGCCTTGATTCACCTCCAGATCCAGCCTGTTCTCTTGGGGAAATTTTAATTCCCCAGGTTTTTTGACACTTCGTACACTTTCTGTGAATTTTTCCAGGCTTCTCACCTGGATCTTTTTCTTTTTTTTTTTTTTTGTAATCTGTTTGGCTATGGTTGCTGCTGATGGGAGGGGATGGTTCCTTGGCTGGGCACCCATTTGCAATGAATTTCCCCTGATCCCCTTAGGGAGGAGGCCGTGCACGTCCCTGCCTGCTGAAAGAATGTGGGATGACTCCAACTGCGGCCGTCGGGGGATTTTTTTTATACACTGGCTTTCTTGTGTCTGACTCTTGGGTCCACTTCCCTCCAACATAGGTGGCAGGAGCCTTCTGGCTTGGGAACCACTGTCCCGTGGACCATCCTGGACACATCGCCCTGGAAAGTCTGGTCCTGGCTTGCAGCATGTGGTCTCACATGGGCCAGCAGAGTCATGAAACAGCTGGAGAACCTGCCTGAAGGAGCCCAGCATGTTTTTCGGAGATAAGATGAAGAGATGACTCAGTTTCTAAGTATGAATATAGGGAATAAGTTGGAGGCAGCTCCGCAGGACAGCACTGAAGGAGACAGGGGCTGGCCATGGCAAAGCCAAGCTGTGCTGGCAACGGAGAGATTACATGTGGGGCAAGTGGCTTGCAAGGCTTGGGTTGAGTACTCAGGGGGACTCAAGAAGTAGCCAAACATCCAACCAACCTACATAAAACAAGACTGGATCCATTTTATATGCTGAGTTTCAGTTTAGTGACAAACTGGCGTGGAACGTTAACCTGATCGAAACGCCTTCCCTTGAGCTTGGTCACTTGAGACTTGTTCTGGTGTTGGTCCTGGTACCCTGCAGCAGCATGCCCAGCAGACCAGAGGCCAACAATAGTCTGGTAGCATTTTCAGCTATATTATTTTGAGATTTAGTGGGTGGCTTCTTGCTGTTATATAAACAGAAACTCTTAGCTCCATGCTTTCCTGATACCTTCCCCTATGGTAGCTCATGCTTCTTCTCCAGCTTAAACAGTCTTGGGCTTTTGGGTCCTACACCGATGCGTGAACTGGAGAAGTGCATTAGGGTTTCTGCTGTATATCTTTGTGGGGAAAGTAACACCTAAGCCTTGGTTGAATGCCACAGACGAGTCCAAGGACTTTGCTGGCTTACTCTCCCTTGCCCGTGCTGTCCTCAGCACACCAGGGACAGTAGCCCTCCTTTTCCTAGCAGGCGTTCTTGCCCCCCTCCCCAGGATCCTCTGCAAGAATGGTGGAGGGGATGGATCACCCCTCTTCCCTATGTGGCAGGGGACACAGCTGACCCTGTGCCCTGTGACCAGCCGCACAAGTTAGCCCAGGAGAGGCTCAGTTCTGCTTCGGCTTCTTGGCAAGCAGCAGCAGCGTGAGGCCATAGGAGAGGGGAAGGATGCTGTTGCACGAAGTCCAGAGCAGGCAGAGCACGGAGAAGCTCTCAGTTTCCACAGCCACCAAGATGTAGGCAACAATGAGCTGTGTGAAGACCCAGGTTGTGCCACGGTAGAGGAGCTTCACACCCTGGGAGGCGGCCCAGGTGCTGAGGAAGGGATGGATACGGTAGTCAGCCTCCACCATGACAGCCCAGCATAGGAAACCAAAGACCTGCCCGGGCCGCAGGCTGGTGGCTAGGAGCGGCCGGGCCGGGCAGCGCTGGAAGATGAGTCTCCTCAGCCAGCGGGACGTGCTCTTGTTCCAGGTTCGGGCGAAGACGGCCATGCGGTGCGTTGTTTCCAGCGTCCACAGGTCACGGACAGAAAGGTCTCCTTGACCCGCCTCCGGCACGAAGCCCGCCACCTCAAGGAGGGCCTCATCCAGCACCCAGTGCAAGTAGTAGGCCAGCCAGCGGACTGCTGTCCCGCGTCCAGTAGACTGGTTGCCAGTGGACCAGTAGTCCAGGGCCAGAGACGTAGCCTTCTGGGCGAGCAGCATGATGGCAGAGAGGGCAATGGCTGGCCTGGAAGGAGAGGGCACGCGAGAGCTGCTGAGAGTCCCTCGAAGGGAGCGTTAGAGGCACGGGCACAAGGCACACACAGGGGATGTGCTGTCCCGCATCCCCAGAGCGCTGCCATGCCCACAGAGTCGCCCACGCACGGCGATGCGGCCGGAGCCAGAGAGGAGACTGACGGCTGTGGAGCAGCGAGCCAGTGCGGCCCGGGGGGCCCTCCACCCTCACAAAATGCCCAGGAGGGTCCCCAGCCCGCTGAGGGGAGGAGCAGGAAAGAGGCAGAGCCGGGGGGTTACCTGGCATCCCGTGGGTCCAGCTCCTGGCTGCTCAGACCCAGGTGGCACACCGTCTGCCAGGACATCTGGAGGGCGAAGACCCAGACGTGGGCACGAGCTGGGCTGACAGAGAGAAGGGTGAGCACGGAGCCAGCGGCTGGGATGAGGAGCAACACAGCGTACCTGCCCATGGCTGTGCCGGCAAGGAGACATCCTCCAGTCAGGAGGAATATGTACCTAGAAGAGACCAGATGCTCTTTGGCTGCCTCCTGGGGAAAATGGGGCTTGAAACTCCTGCCAGGGTGTTGTTAGCGGGGCTTAGTCAGGGTCCTGCATCCTCCACAGTCCCCCTGCAGTCTGCCTCTTGGCCTCCCAGGGGGCTGAGGGCCATCGTGGCTGCAAGCAGGAACGTGAGGGGGGACTGGGGCAGATATTGTTGGCCGTGCCTGGGCCCCATCCTAGTCACACCAGAGACAGTCCCCATTCCCTGCCCTGCTCCCCTTGCCTATGTATACCCCTAAACCCATCTCTCACAACACCGGAGCGTCTGGCCTGACTCTTTTGTCCTTAACGACCTCGCTCTGGCCCACTGCAGAGAGGGAGGACTGGCGACAGCTCACATCCAAGCCATACAAACATCCCTACCCAAGTCAACAGGGACTTACTACGACACGTCCTGCGGCACCTTTGGCCAGGAGAGCCCCCAGAAAGCATCCACGGGCATGACTTGCCCCTGGCGCGGCAGCAGGGGTGACGACCACATACCGTGCAGTCAGAGAGAGGTGTCCCAAAGCACAGAGGTGGTGGAAGAGAGCCGCGAAGGGGAAAGCCGCCAGTCGGTACGGGGCTGCAGGAAGAAGGACAAGCAGGTCTGCCCAGCACATCGAGCGCCTTACTTCTTCAGGTGCCGCTGATGCCTGGAGAAAGGACTGGACCGAGGGCTGCTCTGGCTCCTCTATATGTGGCAGGACCTCAGAAAAACAGAGCAGAGCCAAGGTAACAGAGGTGTCTGCAGGAAGAGGAGCATGCTTTTTGCATTCGTCAGTGCTGACTCCTTCAAGCACCTCTGTCCCAAGGTTTGTGTGTAGGTGGAAAAAGCTGGGGTTGGTTATTTGCTCTGCCAGACGCCTGGGCCATTACCACATACTTCGAAGACAGCGAAAGCGAGCTGCTGAGATAAGGTCCTCTTTGAGCTGCCACGTGTGCCGTGCTGGGATGCACCTCAGAGCAAAATCCCCAGAGGCTTGCTCCTTTCTCTTTGCTTCCTCTCAGCCCAGCCCTTCACGGAAAACTGCGGCTGTTTTCCGGCTCTGGCCTCACTTGTTATGGGGTAGTGGTGGGGACGTCCCAGTATTTAAACATCTGGTCACAGAAAGGAGGGGATGGGTTCTGCCAGGTCTCAGTGATGAGGGAGGGTGAGCCCCTCAGCCCCACCGCTCAGACCAAGCTACGGGGCCTTCTCTTTTACCAGAGATAAAGGAATAGCTCTATTCTCTCCAAACAATTTCTCTTCAAGCAGATAAAAAAATTTAAAAAAAAAAAAAAAATGGACTCACAGAGATACTTGTGATGGTAGGAATTAGTCATTGCAGTTAAACTGTTTAAACTGCACATTCATTCAAAAATGTGCCATATGAGAAAGCAAAAGGTCCTCTTTTGGGCCAGACTTGAAAGGTGATTTGAAGAGACATCTCTAGGGTGAAGCAAAGCCAGTTGCTCTTGCTCTCACAATGCCACCAGCAGTATTTCATGCTAAACAGACGAAAAAAAGCCCAAGAAAATCAATCTACAGGACTTGGCTCATCTTTGTGAGTAACAGCTAAGAAAAATCAGACAAACATAAATGGAAAGCTCATAGATTAAGTTTTTTTAAAAAGACTCAGTTGATATCTGCTTTATTTTAGGCATATGATCAGTGTGAATATGAAGAGGAATACCCTGGAATTTCCTTCTGGAAGAAAAAAAATAACGTATTGGAGAGGTAGAAGAAGTAAGGTTTTCCCCTTCCTTTGGTGAATGCTTCGAAAGATTTAATTAGTCTGTTTGTCAATAAAAAGAACAAAAGTGGTGCCTGAAGTTACAGAAAGAACTGTGCTCATTAAAAACAGAAATTTTGATTTTAAAACATATCAGGTCTGACTTTTATGAATGCTTCTACTCTTCACTGAGCTTTTCAAGCTCTCTGGATGTTGGAAAGCTTACCACGTTGTTTGGATGAGTTCTTTGGTTATGAGAAGGCAGGGGACCAGAACCCCATGGGAAAAAACATTAGAACAAATGCTGCCCAGAAACCGGCTGTATTTTGCTGTATTTGTGCAGGGTATATTTTAAGAGCAAGCGACAGCGCTGGAGGGTAGCTTTTTCTGTGTCAGTTTTGGCATGCATGGCATGCAGCAACAGCCTGGTTTCACTGGACTCATTCTGCCAAAGCCATGGAGCCCAGTATTGACTTTGCTGAGTAAATATTTTTGAAGGCCTTCGCAGTGCCCGCTTAAGCAATTCTCTGCTATAGTTCTGCAAAAATAAGAAGAAGCAGAAACAGATTTCCACAGTAGCACTGGAAATGTTAACGCACCGCTCATGCCTCTCATTTTATACCATCAGGTGCCAGGCGATGGAAGTGTGACTTTAGAGCAAGCCCATGAGCCATAGAGAAGCACGTGAGAGCGCACGATGGCCTTCCTTTGCAGGTACTCAACAAACAACAGCCCCGTCCTGGCTAAGGAATTAATTGTTCGGTGACACAGCGGGTGAGACGGGCAGGCTGACCACTGTCAGAGCAAACTCTGGGCATGAAATTGGAGCAGATATGACTCGGATACCAGCTTTGGGCTAGTACCCAGGAAGGTCATGGTTGCTTTCTTGGTGGAATAGAGTGCTGTTTTGGGAATGGTTTTGGTTGCCTCTTGTAACGCAGCCTACAGTGACCTGCTGCAGGACACACTGCAAAGTGAAAGATGTACATTGAAGGCAAAAAACTTTAAAGAAAAAGTCAGACTGACACGGTTTGTCTTTTCTCCAGAGAAAAGCACGTAAAATGGGAAGGGAGGCCATTCAATAGGGTTCAGGAGGCCTGAACTGAGCTCCTGTCTCAGACTTTCTCTGTGACCTTAGGAAAGCCGCTTAACTCCCCTCCATGAAACAGAGGTGATCGTTTCTGTCTCCCTGTGGTGTTCTAAGGCAGAATCAACCATAAACCTTGGACCTTTGGCTGTGATAGGCAGGACGTGAAAGTACCTAAATGAGAGAGGAATTAAGAAATAAATGCAATGGTTCGTTAAAACACAATAATGCAAACATCCTTCCTTTACTGTCGGGCACCAGTCCCACGCTGGCTTTTTGCTCCTTGTTGCCATGACAGGTTTGCTGACCAGTGCCTGTAAATGGCCCGCTGCTGTGGTGGCAAAGGCCTCGTTGTCCCCCTGGGTAACGAGCCACAGCCCGGCAGTTTAAGGACCGTGCAGAAGTCTCTTAGCGCAGCCATGATCCCACTCATGGAGGTCTGAAGTTGTGCCTGGGGAAGGGGGAGGAAAGGCATTTCCATAAGTTCTCGTGTAATTTTTTGTATCTTCTGTGCTTCTCAATACCCAAATCAGTAATTAAAAGTGTATGTTAATTAGCATTCCATTACGTTAAGTGAAACTTCTGCAAGCCACTTTTTTGCCTGCAGTACGGCCTTACAACTCGTGAGCTCAGGCACGTCAGCGCAGGCGAGGGGCCAGCCCTGTGCCCTTCCCTGCGCCAGCAGTGGCAAAGCAGGTGACCTGTATTTCAAGACATTACTAGGAACTCCTTTTCCTCTTTTGGCTTTGAGACCAAGCCCAGATGGGAGATGGATCCTCTTGTACCTCCTAAAGTTTTGGGACATTTAGAACAGGGACTGACATCACCGGAGACCACCCCCTGTGCTGGTTCCTCTCCACCTCACCACATTGCTCCTGAGGCAGGAGGTGTGCAGCTCCAAGGACCAGTGATGGGGAAAAAAGGTCTAGGACTGCCTGCTGTTCCCCTTCCATCCCCTTTCGCATGATATGCAAGCCCCACAGAGAGCCAGTTCTTGTCCTGGCGTCTCCTTTTGGAGACGACAGGAGCAGCTCCGGCTTTTCTGATCCTTGCTACAAAGCCAGCAGATCAACTGGTGCTTTGCTCCAGAGATAAAGTACCTGGGTATGATCCACATTGCCACTGGCTGCCGGCGAGAGTGGATGTCCTAACACCCTCAGGATGATCCTGATTCCTTTGTGGCTGAGTTTTTTTCTCTTTAGCCTTCACAAAGAACAGACACTAACATATGCCGAAGAAGCAGAGTTGCTTCTTAGGAGAAATCACAGCAGAGGGGTGAACCAACAGCGGGATAACGGGATGGGATGTGCCGGAGGGGTGGAGCTGCCTTGCAGGCAAAGGGGAGATGCCAGGAACAGCCCAGACTTTCCAGCACACTCAGGTAGTCCCAGCGTGTGGGGCATCCCAGAACTGGCATTGCTGCTCTGGGACTTCTGCTCAGAGCTGTCTCCCCAAGACGGGTGCCACCTCTCCCACGCTCTTCAGCGCCTGTAGTGCCAAGGCTCGTAGGGTAAAGCAGTGGTGATATTTTTCTCTCTTAGTGTCAGGATGATCTGAGCTGCCAGAGAACAGACAGAGAGGCTGGAGTCCTGCTCCAAGCCTTGAAGAACCCAGGTAGAAAGAAACAAAGCAGAGCTCAAATCCTCGTACTTGCAGAGGCCCCAGGCATTCCCTCCTGAGAGGGTCAGCACACCTAGCAACTCCCATGGCCAGGAGGCAGCAGGGTGGAGAAGTGAATCTGCTGGAAGTTGCCAGGCCAGGAACGCCCCAAATGCCCTTGAAATACGCCAGTTCCTCTCCAGCGTACAGGGAGCAGAGCTCTCCTCACTGGGGCAGGGCTGAGAGCTGGAGCTCGCCAGTCCAAGGCCCTTCTGCTGAATTCCAGAAAAGGTGCACCTGAGTTACTCAAGGCACGTGAGGAGAAGACATCTTGGACAGGGAGCAATGGAAAAGGATCGGGAACACCATTTGCTGCACTGCTTTTCCTCCTCAGCTACAATTTCTGAGTGCTTTTGGGCTGCCTTTTTGCAGGAGCACAGCCCCCAGATGCCAGCACCTCCATCGGAGCCCTCGGGGCTCCCTCGGCAGTAGGGCCAGGGCAAGGCGGACCCCCAGCCTGCTGGGCTGCATCAGGCAGAGCCTTGTCAGCAGGCGGAGGGAGGTGAGTCTGCTCCTCTGCTCAGCGCTGCTGAGACACACCTGGAATGCTGGATCCAGTGACGGACTCCCCAGTACAAGAGAGATGTGAACGTACTGGAAAGAGTCCAGCAAAGGGATGATGATGGTGATGATGATGATGATGAAGGGAGCAGAGCATCTCTGATAAGAGGAAAGGCTGAGAGAGCTGGAACTGTTCAGCCTGGAGAAGAGAAGGCTCAGGCAGGGGGAGTTTATCCGTGTCCTGGTAAGTACTGATGGGGAGGAACGAAGACAAGGGAGCCTTCTTAGTGGTGCCCAGTGGCAGGACAAGAGGTGATGAACACAAGCTGAAACACATGAAATCCCAGCCAAACCCAAGAAAATACTTGTTTGCGTATGCTTGTGCATGTGACGTGTGTGCTGTGAGTATGTGCTCGTGTATTGCGTATCTGGGGGGGGTGCGTGCTGTGTATGCGTGTTATGTGAGCGGGGCAGGGCGTTGCGTGTATGTTTTGTGTTGCGCGTGTGGTGTGTGGTTGTGTGTTCTGTGCACGGTGCATGTTTTGTGTGCGTTGTGTCTCTGCGTGTGTTGTGGTTTTGTGTGTGTTCAGTGTGCGTGGGGTGGTGGTTCAGGGCTGCGTGTGGCCCCAGCAAAAGTGTTCCAAGGGGGCCCAAGAGCAGC